CCAAACATGGCATGACACGAGGACCTGATTTGAGCAGTTGGTACTGAGCAAGCCTGGTACACGGCATTGTCTAGATCGTCAAGGTTGCTGGTGTGTCACAAGCGTAAAGGTCCTCCCACCACGTCAAAGTCAGATGTCCGTCCAATAGCCGATGAGGAAACTCTGAGGCTTCTGGGCGACAGCTACTGGAGTCTGAGTTTGTGAACGCACGTTAGTACATCCAGCGCCTGGAATCAACCTTCATTGGTTTGCAGAGAGGCAAGTAGCTGCTGCTTAAACTCCACACCTTCAACTGGTGGAACCATCGCTCAATGGGAAGGGACGTGTGTCTGAGCTGTGGGCAGGTAGATGCTGTGTCTGTGTTGCCCAACAGGAAGCTCGCAGGGAGTTCCATCCACCTAGTGAAGATGAAACCCACCCTTGTTGGATGTTAAATGACCAACTAGTGACTATCCTTAATAATAATCCTTGCATTTGATATAGTGCTTTTCACGTTTTCTCGACGTCTCAAAGCGCTTCACAGAATATACTGTAAAGTGAATTGACCGTATATTTATGGGTGAAATGCGGCAGCCAATTGCTCACAGCAGTGTCCCACAAACAGTCATGGATTGAAATGACCAATTTATCCACACTGCCTTCTCCCTCCGCCACAGCTCCTGCCACTCCCCCCTCCTTACACTCCTTTGCCCCCATTTATCCCTCCTCCCCCTCAGCCACAATCATCCGGATGAAGTTCACCACCTGCTGCCTCGACCCCCTCCCCACCCAGCAGCTGGTCACTCAACTCCCCTACTCTCCCCATTGCTGTCTGACACGGTCAACCAGTCTCTCTCCTCAGGCTCTGTTCCACTCCCCCCGAAAACCGCTGTCATCACACCCTTCCTCAAAACCCCACCCTTGATCCCTCTAATCTCTCACACTCCCGTCTCCAACCTGCCCTTCCTTGCCAAAGTCCTGGAACTCATTGTTGCAGATCAACTTTGGTCACACCTCTCCCTCCACTCCTCCACGAGCCCCTGGTCTGCCCCGACTGCCCTCAGCACAGAGACAGCGCTTGTCAAAGTCACAATGTCCTCTCTATCTGTGACCGGGGCTCCTTCTGCCTCCTGGTTCTCCTGGATCTCTCTGCTGTGTTCGACACAATCAACCACCCCATCCTCCTCCACCACCTCTCCTCCCTCATAATAATAATAATAATCCTTGCATTTGATATAGCGCTTTTCACGTCGGGAGGACGTCCCAAAGCGCTTCACAGAATACACTGTAAAGTGAATTGACTGTATATTTGTGGTCGAACGCGGCAGCCAATTGCGCACAGCAATGTCCCACAAACAGTCATGGATTGAAAATGACCAATTTATTATTGTTTTTAGTTTTGGAGGGATTATTATTAGGCTCTGTGTGGAGTAAGGAAACTTGCCCAAGGTTTCGCCCTCTGTCGGGAATTGAACTCAGGTCTCTCATTTGCAAAGCAAGTGCTCTAACCACTGAGCTACAGGACTCCACCTTAGTGGGATCTCACTCGCATGGTTTGAGTCCTACTTAACCAACCGCCTCTATTTCATCTCGGCAAGTGGTTTCTCCTCCTGCATGCGCTTGTTCACCTGCGGGGTACCCCAGGGCTCCATCCTTGGCCTCTTCATTTCCTTATCTATAAGCTCCCTCTGGGCGATGTCATCCGCAGATACAGGGTAAACTTCCACGTTTGCGGGTGACACAGAAATCTACTTTGTCTCCTCCAGTATTGTCTGTAGGTCCCCCTGATGTTCCATCGGCTTGTCTGGCAGACATCAGGGCCTGGATGAGTGTCTCCCCAGCTCCACTATTCAAGAGATCAGCTCATTCAGATTCTGCTGCCCGTGTACTTCCCCGACCAAACTCCGTACCCACATCTCACCAGTTCTGGTCCAGGCTCCACTGGTTCCACATCACCAAACGGATTGACTTCAAGATCCTCATACTCTCGTGTTCAAATTCCTTCGTTCTCTGGCACCTCCCTCTCCAACCTCCTCAATCCACTACCTGGGGCCTCCGCTCAACTGGCACCGGCTCCTGCTCATCCCTCGCACCCTCCGCCCACCATTGGAGGTCGTGCTTTCAGCCACTGCGCCCCAAAACTCTGGAACACTCTCCCTCAATCCCTCCGCCTTGCCCCGTCTCTCCCGTTTCAAATTCCACCTGAAAACGTTCCTGTTCGACCGTGCTTACGGCCACCTCCCCCCTCCCCCTCGGAGTCAGGCTCCGCCACTGTTAAGCGCTCTGAGCCGCTACCCTGCGTGGATGGCGCTATATAAGTGCAAGTTGTTGTTGTTACTTGCTGTAAGATCCTGGCTAAAATCATTGTTTAATACCTCAATTTATATTCAAGAATTGATAGAGAAACTTTGATTGATTGATTGATTGATTGATGTTTAATCAATTAATCAATTAATGTGAGAGAGTTCCTTTTGAGGTCTGTGTATTTGGTGATATGTCATCAAGTAAACAGAATGATTGTGTTGATAAATGCGATTGTGTTGATAAAAACATTCTGCAATCAGCTAAGAAAGATCCCAAAGGGCAGCATTCACATGTGTTATTTTGCTTATAAAGACATTGTCTTGACTGATGTACCTTTTGGTGTCAGTCTGCTCCCAACAGATCTGGAAAGAAGTTTGCAATGTCAAGGTGTCGGGGGAAGAGAATTAACTACTAAACCAAATACTTCACATTTTGGTGTTGGGTTTTTTCAAGAGACTCTCAAATTCTTGTGAGGCTATCTGATGACCTTTGGGGCTTCCCGTGTGTGAGTAAAGTCAACTTCAAGATCCTCACACTCGTGTTCAAATCTCTCACTCCCTGGCACCTCCCAACCTCTCCAACCTCCTCACTCCCCAATCCACTAACCGGCACCTCCACTCGACTGGCACCGGCTCCTGCTCATCCCTCACACCCTCCACCCCACCATCAGAGCCACTACACCCCGAAACTCTGAAACGCTCTCCCTCAATCCCTCCGCCTTGACCCCTCTCCTCCTTTTTTCAAGGCCCACCTGAAAACCTTCCTGTTTGACAGTGCTTATGGTCACCTACCCACTCCCCCGGCCCGGAGTCAGGCTCCACCACTGCTAAGCTCTGAGACGCTGCCCTGCGTGGAGGGCGCTATATAAGATTAAGTTGTTATTGTTGATTGGCTAAACCAGTTTGGAAATATGATTGTTTAATCAAACTGTGGAGATGATTGGACAAAACACCTTTGAACTCCATTTTTACTTGTAAGGTTCACGTGGGCTGGATTGGGATATGAAACGAAAGAGGCAACTTTGGAATAGTTAGAGATCGTTGTAGAGAGTCAACGCTTCTTCCCAGTGGAATCGGGTAATATCAATTTTACTGTATCTATTGTCTCAGTTACAGCTTGTGTGACTTACTTGATAAATATTGGATTATTACACAACCATATTGGTTGTCTCCATCCAAATCTCTTACAGCTGTATTCCAGGGCATACACTGCTGATGACAGCACAACACAGCCTGGGTCATCGGCAGGACCTGGAGGGGCCAACCAGTCACTGGAGGCTGGGAATCAGCCCACTCAGCTTCTGTTAACCCTGCAGCCAAAGCCCTATCAGCTCTCAGTTGGACAAGCAGCGGGAAATCTTACTCAACGGAATTAGGCACGCAGGGTGCGTCCTTCCAGGGAGAGAGAGCGCATTCCATTCCAATAAATATCTCTGGGATTTCCATGTATAGGTGGGATGCAGGGAATTCTCAGGTTGGTTTGGATACTCCTAAGCATGGTGATGGGTTTCCACAGGTCACCCAGCTGACCCCCAAAAAAGGGAGGTGACATCCAGTGTTTCGCTCAGGCTCCTGGATGATCTCTAGGGCAGGAGGGCAGGAGAGAGTACGGCGGGGAAGCAGGAGGCAGAATGAGACTCACATGTGAGGGCCGACCTTCCCCATTGAACACCATTAGGACGATAAACTACAGCAAGTTACAGGCACGTGATTAGCTGTACTTTGGGCTCCCAACTATTCCAAACTCCTCCTCTCTCAGTGGCTGTTTGAGCCGGGTCCCTCCCCAGTCCCTGTACACTGATTCCTGTTATAAATTATCTTCCTGAGGATAAGCTAAGCATATTCATACATTTCTGCTTTGTGTTGGCCCCAGTTCTGGGAAGAGATCGCAGGGTGTGAGTCTATTTGAGTGTGTTTCAGTGTGTTAAAGCCCAGCCTATTGATCTCATCTGGTTTGAAGGACAGGCCTGTGACCTCTCCGCTGGCAGCAGTGACCGGCTCAGGCCTTGCCTGAACGCCACAGCTCAGGAGCCAGGCCCTGCTGCTGGGAGGCACAGCTCAGGAGCCAGGCCCTGCTGCTGGGAGGCACAGCTCAGGAGCCAGGCCCTGCTGCTGGGAGGCACAGCTCAGGAGCCAGGCCCTGCTGCTGGGAGGCACAGCTCAGGAGCCAGGCCCTGCTGCTGGGAGGCACAGCTCAGGAGCCAGGCCCTGCTGCTGGGAGGCACAGCTCAGCGGCCCGGGGCAGCGAAGGCATTTGTTGTGTCATTTCCTGTTGTGACAGTCCCAGAGGTTCAGCATAAACATGGTTTCTCATCGGCTGCGGTCCTGTCAGACACTGACCTCCCAGAGACTGACATCAAGCGAGAGTCCACCACAACAGCCAACACCAGCGCTTACCTGCAATTCAACCTCAATGTTTCCTTCATGATGATCTTAAATTGATGTCGTCCAGATACCAACTGGTGGAAATAGCTTCTCCCTATTCACTTTATAAAAAACCCTCATTATTGTGAATATCTCCTCTCAGAGTTTTTTTCTAGTGAAAACAGCCTCAGTTTCTTGTTTTTCCCCCATAGTGAAGCCTCACATCCCTGGTATCATTGTTGTGTGTCTTCCCTGCTCTCCCCCCTCTATGGTCTGGTCATTTTTCTGAAAGTGGGAGTCTCAGAAACAGGACAGTATTGTAGCTACAGCCTCACCAGCATTAACAGCAGCATCTGAAGCAGCGACAGAGATGATCAGATCTGACAACATTGTGAGGCAGTGTTTAGCAGGGGTTTGGCTCAATTCACTCACCGGTGTTCAGCAGGAGTTTGGCCGTCTGGAAGTTGGAGTGAGACACGCAGTAGTGCAGGGCTGTGTTGCCGTTGCCGTCACACAGGTTAACCACGTGCCTCAGGACTGCCGGAGACATCTCTGAGAATGCCATTAGGTAACCGGCCACAGTGTCAGGGCAGGCCGACTTTTGGCTGGAGATTCGGAACCATTCATGCTGCAGCAAGTTTAAACTGGGGATCTGCAACATCACAAAGGTGGACATTAACAATCCCATGACACTATTTGAAAAGGAAAGGAGTTTCTCCGGGTTTCTTGCCCAGTAATTTCTCAGATAAATAGATCACTCACTTCATAATAATGATAATCCTTGCCTTTATACAGTGCTTTATCACCTCATTGAGACATCTTAAAGCCCTTTTTGCAGGATTTACTGTAAAGTGTATTTTCTTTTGGAGGCAAACATTGATTGCCGCACTTTGTTTTGTGTCTTTATATCTTTGTATATTGTGTCTTTACGCCTTGTATCGAATGCACAATTATTGTGATTTAACAGAGCACCCCCCCACCCCACTTACTGCCTCTCCCCCACATTGCTGCCCCCCCCCAGGGTGTTGGTGTTCAGCGCTCATGTCAGTAATAGCGGTGATGGGATGAGGAGCTGAGAGAGGCTCCGAGCTTCGCACTGGATAAAACATTGGGAAACTCACCACTTCTTTGCTTGTTGTTGCTGGACTTTGGTCATTGAAATGGTTCTTCAAGATCAGACAAACTTCCCTCATCTTCAGACTCAGCTCAAATCTGCAGCAAAATAACTTGTCACTGCCACACAATACAATACAGCTGACATTTACACAGCGGCTGTCACATCTAGAGGATGTCCCAAAGTGCTTCACAGCTGGTGGTGGGGTGGGTGGGGGGCTGGGAAGGACTTAGAAGTGGTGGGGGGGGTGGGTGCGGGGGGCTAGATTTCAGCTGATCTCAGCCTAAAGACCATTATATCCTAAAATGAGAATTGTGGAAAAGTCATAAATTCAGTGTTAATCTGGAAGCCGATTCTTATTACAAACTGCAGAAAATCAGCTTCCAATTCCAGTCTGAACACGAGAGTCCTCTACAGTTTTATATGATCTGATATTTGATGACAAAATGGTCTTTAGGCTCAGACCAGGTGGAATTTCATGTCTCTGAAGAAGAATTGCAAATACCTACTAGGAAACACACACACTCACAACAGGTGTGTTGTCACACTCACACACACTCACAGCAGGTGTGTCACAGGCTGTACTGTGGGTGGAGCTGGAGGCTGGGTTGTGGACCTTGTAGCTGAAGGTAAACCTCTGAACCCAGTCAGTCCTGTGTGTTTCCTCCCTTCTCCCCCCACGACCTCAGTTCGGGTCTGAAATGCTGTCACTGTCCAGACCTTGGGACGTCCTCCTGACGTAAAAGGCGCTATACACATGTAATCTTGTTGTTATTGTGTGCGTCTGTGTGTGTGTCGAGATGACAAATGGGCTACAGACAATCAAATATAACAGATTTTGATTGGGTGAATATCTCAATCATTTTATGTGACAAAGAATATAAACAAACAAATGGAGGATTTCTTACTTCTCTTTCACCTCCTCTTCATCCACAGTCTGCTCTTCTCTCCGCTGTGTTATTAGCCGCTGTTTCTCCTCGGTGGTCTCCTCCCCCGAGCTGTCTGAGCTGTCAGCGGGGGTCTCGGCATCGCTCAGCTCCTCACTCGAGCTGCTCTCGTATCTAATTCCAAACCATAATTGCCCTGTGTGACTGCAGCACTGCACACGGGCAGCCACAGCAGCCACCGCACATGGCCGAGAGCAGCTACTGTCCTCTCTCCTGGATTCTCCTCCCATTTATTGACCCGAGGGAACGATCCACAAAATGACTCCCAACTCCAGAGCTAAATAACTGATTGACAGAATAGTTCTCTCTCCCCACCTCCAAACGACACTCAGCTCTCTCCTCCCGCCCTCGCCTTCTCTCTCTCTCTCCTGGACCCTCCCACAATCTCCCTCTGCTCCCGCCTGGCCATCCTCCCCCAGGCTCACCATGGCACGCACTAATGGTCGTCCCAGAGCAGCCACCCCAACTGCCCCTTCCCACCACACTCTCCACAAGCCCCACTTCTAAAAGGTACCCCCTTTTGTCATCCACATCCTTCCCAACTCTCCCACCTCATACTTGACAGTCGTTCTCCCCCCACAATCTACAAGCCCTCCAAACCCCTTGCCCTACTCTCTCCCATGCCAGCCCCTATTCACAACACGTTCCAAAATGTCTGCTCCCTTTCAAAGAAAGCTTTCACTATCTGCTACAGAAACCTGTCTGCCCCCACTTCCCCCTCAGCGACGCCTCCCCACCTGCTCACTCCACACCCCTGCCCGCCCTCCCCACCCTCTCCCAGCGCTGGTGGGGTGGCCCTCATCTCCTTCAGTCTATCTCTATGCCCCCAGCTCCTTCCTATCCTTCGAGCATCTCACCCCGTACCTCACCCTGTCGGTCTCTACTTCAGAATTTCCCTAATCTACCTCCCTCTCCAAACCGTGGTCCTTCCTCTCAGACATCTCCTGCCTGATTGATTGACTTCAATATCCTCACCCTCGTCTACAAATCCCTTTACGTCCTGGCACCTCCCTACTTCTCCAACCTGCTTACTCTTCACTCCAGCACCCGCCACCTCCGCTCGGCTGGCTCCAGCCTCCTGCTTGTCCCTTGTCCACCATTGGCAGCCATGCTTTCAGCCACTATGCCCCGAAACTTTAGACCTCTATCCCCTAATCTCTCTGACCTACTCTCTCCTTCCCCTTTTTCAGCCCTGAAGACCTTCCTCTTTGACCGTGCTTACAGTCACCTCCTCCCTCGCTCGGGCTCTGCGTTATGCTCCTCCACTGTTTTGTGCTCTGAGACTAACCCATGTAAAAAGTGCTATATAAGTGCAAGTTGTTGTAAACCTTCATTTCAACAACAGCAAATTACATTTGTATTTAGTGTCTTTCATGTCGGGAGGACGTCCCAAGGCGCTGAAGTGAAACCATTTGTATGACTTGTAAATCCCAAAAGAAAACACTATTCACAAGTGTTGAATATCTCTCCAGACACCTTGGACACCTTTACTTACTCTCTATTTAGACCAACAAACTGCAGATTTTTTCTGGTGCCGTTGGACTCTCTGCACGACCCGTTATTCTTTTTCATGATGGATTTCAACACTCCTGTCAGAAAGAGAAAACAGCATAATGACACCACAGCCATACTCACTCACTCAGGCTCCGTCACAGGCATCATTTCTTGTGCATTCAGTGGAACCACAATAACTTTCATTTCCTCCACGCGCCACCCACTGGTGAGGCCAGACCTTCAGTCAGACTTAGTCAGGGCAGGGCTACCAGAACCAAACATTTCCTAACCCTTAGGAGCACTCACCTTTGGGGCCGCCAGCCTCTGTCCTCTTGGCAGTGCCGGTCTGATCCTGATCCGATCTCTTCTCTTCAGTATTTGCCCCTCCCCCACATACAAGTTGTTGAGATGAGCTGTAGAACTTGACTACGATCTGATTCTCCACGGTCACACTGTCCTTATTGATTTGCTTGGAGTCACAGTCTCTTAATTCTAAAGTCGGGCTGCAGGCTGCTCCTTGCTCTCTGAGACTTGCACCCATCTCCCTATCTCTACAAACACTCGGCAACACATCTCTGGCCGCCTCGTTTCTAAGTGAGGCCTTGGAGGTGCTCTCACCACGCACTCTGTGTGCAGCCTCCTCCTTTACCATAATAGGAGAATCTTGATCAACTGAAACCTCTGTTACGTGCGAGACACAATTGACTGCTTTGCTTTGCAGACCACAATCCACAGAGCCATCTGTGATGCAGTCATCACCACCCACTGCTCGACTGACTACAGAAACCCTGGCTTCCAGACTGGCGTCAGCCACTGTGGGCTGGACCATCACTCCTACATCCAGCATCTTTCTGGAGGTGAAAGCTGCTACCTTTAGCCTGAATGTATGCAGTTCATTACTGCTCTCCTCCAGCTCTGTCTCCATCATGGACATATTGTCTTTTTGTCGGTCAATAATTTGTTGTAAAAATTCTATTTCCTCCTGTGCTTCTGTGGTCAGTCCCAGCGAGGATTCCACAACCCCAACGCTGGCATCTCTCACCTCCAGCTCAGCTCCAACCGCTACATCCCAACAAGGCCTGTTTGACTTGTAATAGAACACAACCTGGTCCATCTGCTCCTCACCGCCCACACTCACTGACCTGTGTGTCACATTGGAAACAGCTCTGACTTTGCCACCTTTTCCATGTCTTTCCAGAGTCGCCAGCTTCTCAGTCAGTTGTCTGAGTTCTCTGATTTTACTTGTCCTCTTTATGTTGTTGACATGTGCTGGCACAGTGCTGCCCTGGGAGCTCTCCCCAGAGAGGTTGCTGGTACTGTAGGAGCGCTGGCGGAAGCCGAGGGCTTGCCCGCAGTCACAAACCTTCCTCTGCTTTAGCTCCGACAACAGCTGCCGCTTCTCCTCCTCCACCGCACTCAGTTTCCTCTCCAGCTGCGGGATGCCTTTCACCTGTTCCTCCAACTCCTTCAGCCTCCTCAGGCCTGCTGCCATGTGCTGCCGGATGTGCTGCAGGTGGGCTGGGGTGATGCTGGGGACTGGAGAGCTTCTTCCTGAACTCAATGGGCTGAATGTGAAGAAGGCTGGACTGGAGTGGGCATGTGACTCGCCATTTCCCAGGAAGGTGTGGTGATACATGCTGGGGGACAGCTGTCTGTGGCCACTCGAAGTGCCGGCTGGTCTGGGTGCAGTGCTCAGCATCTTTATCCTCTGACAGTCTTCAGTACTCAGGTGTTGGTGCTGCAGCCTCCGGCTGGTCTCCAGCAATGTCCTCTCCACACGAAGGTTGCGCAGAAATCCGGGGGACGGAGGCGGCAGCAGATGCTTGTCTGGCAGTGGTGACACTGCTGTTATAGGTTCCTGGTTCTCACACCCGCCTTGCTGACTCCTTGCTTTTGGTGTTGTGGCTGAACCTTGGATGTCCTCACTGGTTGTGGAAGACAGCGACTCGGTGGAGGTCCACCCGCTGCTCTGACCGCTCCAGGCTTTGTTGCTTGAGGATGGTTTGACCTTTGGCCTCCTGTGAATTAACTTCTTCAAGGTATTGCCACTCTGAATATCATCAACGTATTTAAGGAAGTCCAAATCTAACTGGAAACCATAGGGTGTCTCAACAGCGTAGGGGCTCCTCTGACTAACCCCCACCTGGTACAACGCGTTACTTCCCAGATCTGGTGATAGGAGAGAAAATGTATTTACTTGTCTTATAGATAACAATAAATCACAACAAATCTCTAGAACCTTATAGGATTGAAATAAATAATTATTTAGTCACCTTCTACCTAGTGTTTGGGGTTGAGGTTGTGGCTGGGTTGGAGGTAGAATTTGGGTTAATTTAGGGGTTAGTTTGGGTAGGATTTGGACTGGGTTGAAGGTATGGTTGAGAATGGGGTTGAGTGTATGGTTGAGGGTGGGGTGGGCAGAGTTCAGTTTGGGGCTGAGTTATGTGGTAGAGTGGGGTTGCAGTACAGTTTTAGGTTGAATGGGTTGTTTGGGTAGGATTTGGGGTGAGAGATACTTACCTGGGATACTCAGGTTCAGTCGCGCTGCTCCTGCCATCACTCCCTTGAAATGTTCAGAATGTCATGAATGCACTGGGTGATTGATTGCCCAGGAGGCTTTGTCTGCAAGAAATAAAGAGGAAATGTAGCCACATGGATCACTATCCTGAAGCAGACTCACTGACTGGATTCAATGCTTTGCTCACTTCCCAATCTTCACACATTGTAAGGGATGTTTAATGTTGGGGGACGGGGGATACATGTTAGGGGGGGGCCTTCAATGTCTTCTTGTAGCCAGCTTTAACACAGGAAGGGTCTGGGACCAGTTTGTCCTCTCCCATGTCCTAATGTACATTGAAACCTTACTGTACTCAGTGGTTATTGTGGAGGTGGGAAAAGCAACTCCATTTGTTCTTTCCTCCGACGTGGTACATTGATGTAGTTGCCGGCTGACTACAGCAGTAATGTTGGATAAAACAATAGACTATTGTCTATTGACTGAAGGAATTTTACTTGGACCAATTTTTAATTCAGTAAATTCTTCTCACAGTAACAGTTATGAAAGCAATGAGCAGTGGGAGTGCTGACCCAAAGAGCTCACAATGGATGGCCATTCTCTCTGTAATGTACATTTCCAACAACTTCAATTCTGGAAACAAAACAATTGGAAACAGACTTCTCAGAAGCAGAAGTCGCTGAACTTGGCAACCACTGAACAACACGAACAACAGCCCTCAGATACATCCACACCACAGACACCGGTCATATCTACTGCACAATCTGATCTGCAAAACAAAAAATCCCGAAAGTCTTTAATCGGATGGACATTTTATTTTATTTCCCGTAAATCTTCCTTGTGTCCTTGGGGTGATGTTGGTGAATCAGCTCTGGATGCAGGAAAGGAAGCAAATATCAACCAAAGTGCCTCACAACAAGTCAGTATAACCAAGACCTTCCTGCTTTGTTGACTTCCTGTTGTTATGCTCTGGCCTTGCTTTGGAACAGCTTTGTGTCCTGCTATAAATTATTGCATTCAGGAGGGAGTGGCCCTGATGGTAAAGCTGAGCTCCCTGGTTCCAATCCCAGTGTTTGCTGGCCTCAATTGGGGAAGCTGAATTCGCCACAGCCTTCCCAGAATTTGCTAAGGGAAAACCAACCAGACTCCTGCTCATCATCCCCGTCAACAAGGAGGGAGAAGCCAGGCTGGCTGTCACGCCCTATACAGTCGAATGACCTGCTGACAATCACTGCCAAGCTTCATACATAATAATAATAACTCTTGCCTTTGATATAGCACCTGTTGAGACATCGACATCATGTTGTTGAGACATCTCAATGCACTTTACAGGACATATTGCAAAATGGATTGATGTGTTTTGTGGATGACCTCGGCAGCCAGTTGTGCACAGCAACATCCCACAAATAGCCATGGGGTGAGTGACCACATTTATTTGGGGGGCCGGTTGGCTGGTTGGCCAGAACCCTGGGACAAACTCCTTTCTTTTTGAATAGTGCTTATAGGATCTTTAACATCCACCTGAACAGGCAGATGGGACCTTGGTTTAATGTCCTATCCAAAAGACAGCACCTCCAACAATGGAACCCCCTCCCCAGTGCTGCATTGTAATGTCAGCTAACATCATGTCCTGACGTGGGGCTTGACCCCCAACTTTCTGACTCAAGAGGTGAGAGTCACTGCACCAGGCAGTCTGACACAAACTATTTCACAGAACTTGTTTCCAGCTCGCATCTATCACCTACCGGTTCCTACTTACTGCTGGGTAAACAGAGGCATTTGGAGTAAGGAAACTTGCCTAAGGTTTTGCCCCGTCTGGGAATAGAATCCGTGTGCTCTCGCTTGTGTGGCAAGTGTGCTAACCACTATGCTAAGGGATTCCAGTGAACATGAACAATGGTCATTTGAATGGAAGACAACCAGTGCCCTTGAACCACACCCAGCAATAGGAGGCCACAGAAAATTAAAAGAAAACTCCTGCACAAAGAAAAACGTGATCTTGCAATGCCCTGCCTCTGTGAACGGACAAGGTTGAACCTGGGAAACAGGAATCATTTTAGACATTGGTCTGAACTGGTTCCTATTTCAACTTTGTTCCCAGAAACAATGTAGATTCACAGCTGGGATTTGCTTATTTGAAATGTGGCTGGTTTATCAAACAGTTAAAATAATCTCAGCAAAAGTAACAAACTGCAAAGTACTGTTTTACAATGGTGATAATAATCAGGGAATGGCTTCCTCCATCCTAGCCAAGAAAAGTATTTACGGTCTCTAGCCTGGCCACCAGCTCAACAAAATGTTGACCTTATTCCAAAAGCTGTTTCCTGCAGTTGTGCTTACAGCTTCACCCTCACCCCAGACTCACAGCACACTTGCTGAATCTCAGCCCTGATTCCAGTGGGTTAGAAAGCATTGACTCAATCTTCTCTTTGGCAGAACTAAACAAAATTAGTGCGTGTTAATGACACTGACCTTGGTTTTGTTTCGAGAAGGCGATGAGCGTGTATGACACTTTAGTGTCATTTAGCATTACTTGTGCTGGTGAATCATGGAGTTTTTAACCAAACACATTTTCATGAAGACAAAATCTCTAAGTGGAAAGATTCTCTCTTTCTGTCCACAGCACCTCAGTTCCTGTACAAGAGGTTGGAACACAATGTTCTCCAATCCGACTTACACTGGTATTCACAGAATCAAATCTCTTTTCATTGCTGGTTCCAAATGAGAAGTAAAAAGCTGATGTAACTATTCTAAATGAAATGGATTGCTGACCCAGGGTGAACTGGGGCAGTTTGGGGCCAGGCCTGCAGGAGCCAGCCTCAGCAGCTCAGGATGATTACAGGTCCGAGTGAAGATTCCAGCCACATGTTGTGTTGGTTAGCTTTGGAGTGTCGCCTCCCTCTGATTGTGGCCACAGCCAACAGAATGCTGTTCTGATCTTAAGACAAGACATTCCAGCAGCTGTAACCACCACACCCATTCTATGAAAAAGTCGAGACAGCCACCAAGACACAACAACAAATTGCACTTACATAGCACTATTCATATCTGGAGGACATCCGAAGGCACTAGACATTGAAGTGTTTGCACCTGAGCTGGGGATTGGAGTTAAGTGGGGTGGAGGGCAAGGGGTTGTATATGGGAGGGTGTCCGAAGGCACGGGCAAAGAGGAAAGTCTTGAGAAGGGCCTTGAAGGAGGCAAGAGAGGGATCGAGGTGGAGGTGTTTCAAGATGAAGTTCCAGAGGGTGGGGGCGGAAAGGCTGAAGGCCTGACCTCTGATGGTGGGGGGGCCGGGCAGGGACATGGAGCAGGACAGTGCCAGCTGAGCAGAGAGAACAGACAGGTTGGTAAAAGTAGGTCGCAGGGGTAGGGAGGAGCAAGACTATGGAGGGCTTTAAAGGTGAGGATGAGGAACTCGATCCTCAGGATACACTGTCAACGCTTTACAGTGAATTCTGTGAAGCCTTTTGATTATTATCATTTATCTTTTCCGGGAACTTTGACCAAACAATGACAATCTTCAGTGGATACATTTTCTTCCGGGGCTTCACTCTCCCTCATGTCACGTAGCTTCCGATACTAAAGCTGCCCTCTGGAAGTTTCCTTTCCTCCTATGCGACTTGGAACGTCCTCCCAACGTGAAAGGTGCTATACAAATGTAATCTTGTTGTTGTCGTTGTTATGCCAAATACCGTGTTCCCCTCATCATCAACATGTTGGGAATGTGTTTAACAGGTTTCTAACAGCAGTGCTCACTGACCTAAAGGGAATATGAGGTACTGAGCTCTGGTCTGGATGGTACCCAGGCACTGACCAGTTTATACACTGTGTCTCAGCCACAGCACCAAGTACAGGCCCTTGTACCTGAGACACGGAAATAAATAAAACCAAGCGGTCTGTCGGTCACTCTCTCTGTCCTGGGCAACAATGGCTGGATACAGCGAGGCACTGACCAGTCTGGAAAGTATTCTGACCTGGAGAATGGAGGTGGTGACATACCCATGGGAAGGAACTGGGAAGAAAATAATTTCTCAGAAAAAATATTCCCTCAACAAACTGCTGCAAATGAGCCAAAATCAAAGCAGAAACTCAAAACTTCATCTGTGCTGCATTCTGGACGGGAAACCCATCCTGTGGGGAAGCCACTGCATTGTAATATACACTCAGCAACACATCTATACAAACTTCACAACCCCACATCCACTTCCTGTATGTGGTGTGGTGTGTAAGAATGTGGGTGAGGGTCTGTGTTTATGTGTGAATGAATGCGTTTGTATGCGTGAGAGTGCATGAGTATGCGTGAGTATGTCTGTGAACATGTTTGTGTGTGAGTTTGTGTATGAGTGTTTATGAGTGTAAAACTGTGAGAGTGAAAATGTGAAAATGAATGTGACTGTGAGTGTGATGAGCGTGTGAGAATGTGAGTGTAAATGCCTTCAAAGTCTTCATTTTGCTCCATTTCCCAATGCTGGTCAGTGTCTTATCCTGGTAGAGTTTTGCAGAGATATCTACACAGAATGGAACAGTAAAGGAGCAGGCATTTGGCTTGGACATAAAATCATAAGAACGTTCTTAGCAAAAGAAGATTAAGGTCCATCCAGTGGCTTTTCAGTGGATTCACCGATGCCTTTTCTAATAAGTTACTTCTGACTGGTTAGACAGTGTACATGACTTCCTAGGGCTGTAACTTAATTTAATCTCCCACAGGTGAGGAAGCAACAACAACCACAACAAAATTACATTTGTATATATAGCGCCTTTGATGTTGGGAGGACGTGACTGTAAACCACCTGTGGTGCGAGGCACCATGCTGCAGGCTGGAGCTAGCTCCGTGTCCAGTAAAACCCCAAACCCCAGCACAGCTGCCCGAGTGTCTCAGAACTCTCTTGGAACAGAGTGTTTAATTTCTCACTAATCACCAACAGGGCGGTGCTTCAGGATCCTGTCCAACAGTGACTGAATATCACTTGTTGCAGAAATCCTTGTGGATCGACGGATAAATCCACCATGTGGGAAAAGTTTCCAAAAAGCCAGCTAAAAATGCTTGTTCCATTTTACCCACAACACAAGCCAAAGATGTCACTTGGTGGAAAAGGTGTTTCTATTTTGAGCTCAGCCG